AATATTTGTTTATTATTTATTATAGATTGTTTTCTTTGAAGAATTTCTTTCCATTGTATTTCTTGTTTAGTTGTCATTTTTTTTGTTAAATAAATTCCACGAAAAATTTCTTTTTGATTTGAATCCATATTTGGTAAATATTTTATAAGTGAATCTAATTCTGTATAATAACTTTTTAAAATATTCATAATTACCCGCGTACAAATAAAAACAAAAACGAAGAAGACAAAGTCAAAAAACGTTCTTTTTTTCTTATCTAAAAAAAAACCAAAAATTTCATTGATGATCTTAGCAGCAGCTGCATGTGCTGTAGCTGGTGCTGCAGGACTTTCTTATATATTTGACGATAATAATGATGAACAACAATCAACAAATATGAAATATGAAACAGTTACTGTATCATCAACTATTCTTGATAAAAAAGGTATTATTAAAAATGTTATACATCCATATTCATATATGTATTATCCATGTATTAAACAAGATCAAAATAAATGTATTGTTACATTATTGCATGAGTATAAATTAAATCAGTTAAAATTACCAATAGAAAATTGTAAAGAAAAAATTAATTATACTATATTTAAACAAGATTTTTCTATTATTTTCTTTTGGTCAATACCATTAAAAGCTCATCTATTACAAACATCAACAAAATCATGTTTTATTAGGGAAAATTTTAATATTTTTGAACGTAGTTTAATAAAAATTAGTATTGGAATCCAAAATGTAAGAAGAAGAATATGTTATATTATCAATACTTTTATTATAGGCTAAACTTTTACAATGATCTCTCTAATGCTCTATACTTTTACTATAACATCATCACCACATGATCTCTAACTTCTGTTTTTTTTAGAAAGTCTGCTGCCTTTCAGTTTTGGATCGTTTACTTTATTGTCTTTGGGTCTATCATAGTCAATCGTGAACGCCTTTTTCTTGGTTTACTTCTACTTTCTAGTCTCATTAATCAAATGAAAATGATTGCATTCAAGACCGAACCAAAACGCTCGAGTTCACTGCACGTCTAATCGCGCTGTACCTGTTTATCTGATTAAAAAACAAAAGAATTATGAATTCCAAGACCTATTAGAATTCATAGGCTCTCTATATCTAAAATCAATCAAAATAAAACTGAACATCTAGTCTCCTC